TCCAATTGCCGGCTTCTTTATGGTGGCCATAAAAGACCACCGCTGGAACCGTCTTGAGAAAAGGGGGTTATTGCCGGCTGGGGGGGGTGTTGCGATGCTCCTCACCCCCGTCCGGATCCCCCCTCTCTTCAGCTGCCCCAAAGGGCAGCCTTAGCCTCCAAATCCATCAGGATCGGAGGCACCAAGGCGGCTAGCACAGCAGGAATCGCAGAGAAGGCGAATCCCTGCTGTTAGCAAAGCCGACAACCGGAAGTCTCAATTTTTTTACAGGTAGTTCTTGACCACAGTTGAGCCCAAAATTGGAATCTCTATGTGAAACATTTGTTAAGTAAGTTTTGCCTCATTTTATGAACTTTCTTGCCACAGTTGTTAAGTGAATCACTGCCGTTAAGTTAATCATATGGTCGTTAAGTGAATCTGGCTTCCCCGTTGACTTTGCTTATCAGGAGACCTCAAAAGATGACCATGTGATGCTCCCAACCGTAATAAATATGAATCACTTGGCAAGCATCTGAATTTTGATCACATGACCTTGGGGATGCTGCCACAGTTATAAGTGGAAAAACAGTCCTACGTCACTTTTTTCAGTGCTGTCATAACTTTGAATGATCACTAAACAAATGGTTATAAGTTGAGGACTGCCTGTATACAATATATAAAATAATTTTTCCAATGGGTTTATTTTTCCTGTAGGTTTGTTACCCTTCATTTTGGTAAATGACTTAATTCTCATCCAGCTGGAAAACACAAATCGAACAGAAAATTAGTTCTATATGGCTGTTCAGCACTTTAAATGGTCACTAAATACATTGTTGTAGTCTACTTCGCAAGGTTCTAGTAGCGCAGATTTTCCCAGGATGGTTTTTCCAGAAGTTTCTTCTAGCCTGGCCAGCACTGAATTTGATGGGTTTACTTAGAAATCACAGAGTGGTGCGGTGGCCTAGAGCGGAGCTCTCACCTCATAATCAGGAAGCTGTGAGTTTGATCCTAGCTGGGGGCAGTTATTTCTCTCTTTGGGTACAATGAGAATGTATCTGCTGAACAAAACTCCGCATTAGTGACAGGAAGAGCATCTGGCCACTAAACACTCAGCTCCATTCAATTACCTAGAAAGAAGATAATGACTTACAGATCACAGCTAGAAGGGATTGTGTTGCAGAAGGCTCTCGTATAAAGCAAGGAGAGAGACCTGCTGTGATAAGGACAGTGGACAAATTATTATGTAAGCAATGTAAGGAAACTTCCTATGCCTGTGTAGAATAGATGGTTTGGGGGGCAATGATGGCTACCGGCAATTGTAGTTTGCGGGTGGACTTCCTTACCATCCATTAAGCCTTTCTCTTTTCTGTTCTCTCCAGAGATTCGAGAAGAAGTTCAATTCTGAGCAAAGCTCAGGCAATGTCTCCAAAGGAACACAGTTTGAGTATGCTTGGTGCCTGATCCGCAGCAAATACAATGAGGACATCAAAAAGGGCATTGTCCTTTTGGAAGGTGAGCTTTAGACCAGCTGCAAAGTGGCTCCCCTGATCTGCCTTACAAAACTCTTTCTTAAGAATAAATCACCGTATATTCTTTCATAATCTGAATAATGTTTTTCACCTGTTAGGCCTTATGGATACAGCAAAAGATTGAAAGGCAGTTATGGGGGGGAAAATGATCTATTCTCCAGTATAGACATTCTCACTAATCTTTCACATATGACACACTCCATTGCAGTGGTAGGGAGCTTAAAAGCTTTTGCCACTCTAACTGAAGCGACCATGTTAATTTTGGAACTACATACAGGTGAGTTCAATCCTAGGTAGAGACAGATATTTCTCTCTCTCGGCACAATGAGAATATATCTGTTTGAAACAAACCTCCGAATTGATGACAGGAAGGGCATCCGGCCAGTAAACACTCAGCTCTATCCAGTTGCCCAGACTCCACCCTGCAAGGAGTTATGGGGTCATTAAAAGAAGATGATATAGGTGGTCCTCAATTACGACAGTTTGTTTAGTGACCGTCCAAAGTTAGAACATCACTGAAAAAAGTGGCTTATGGCCATTTTTCACACATACGACCATTGCAGTATCCCCATGGCCAGGTGATTTACATTTGGATGCTTGACAGCTGACTTACATTTATGACAGTTGCCATGTATCATGTGACTCCCCTTTTGTGACCTTCTGGCAAGCAAACTTGACAGGAAAACCAGATTCACTCAACAACCGTGTCACTGATTTAAGAACCGCACTCATTCACTTAACAAATGGGGCGACAAAGGTTGTAAAAGGGGGCAAGATGCACTGAACAAATTTCTCACTTAACAATGTAAATTTTCACCCTCCCAGAGGCCTGAGAGAAGCCTCCGAACTCTGGGGAAGGTAAAAAATGCGGAAGATCTGGAAATCTGGAAACAGGCCTGTTTCTGGCTTCCGGAAGGCCCCTGGAACCCAGGAAGGCTGTTTTCGCCCTGCCAGAGGCCCAAGGGAAGCCCCCGGACTCTGGGGAAGGTGAAAAATGGCCCTCCCGGAAGTTCTGATGGCCACGCCCACCCTCACCACATCCACCCAAACCAGGCAGAGAACTTGTTGGGACTTTTGAATCCCACCCCTGTCAACGTTCCCTAAACTTTGCTGAAGATATTACTTGTACTGGTAATAAAATGTTAAGAAACCAATCCACAAGCTTGGGGAATGAACCTTCACCCTCAAAATTGAGACTCTTAAGGTCAATCACTTCTTCTAAAGTCCACACTATTCAAACAGTAAATATGGTGAGGCTCATAAAGTTAAAAGCCAAATGTCGGTCATCCTCAACACAATAGAAACTAATCCATAAGCTTGGAGAACAAACCTTCACCCGAGATGCAGATAGTCACCACTATTGCAAAGTCTCAATTTTGATATCTAGGAAACAGAAATTTAAGGTTCGCAGAGTCAGCTGTTAAGCCAGCCTTTTTTTTTTTTTTTGGCTAGTTCTTTCACAACTTTTGGGAAAGCATTTTAAATACTGAGTTGTGCTTCTTAATTCATTCTTCCATGTTTGGAAGGAAAACACACCTTTTCATTTATTTATATATCTTGCCAAAGTATTGTCCTAACAGCAGTAGCTGGATTCAGGTGGATGAGAGTTCCCCAACCTTTTCGGCTTTGCAGACTGGGGGAGGAGGAGAGTGGATGGGTCTGCACAAACAGCAAGCATGTGCGCCCATCCCTTGCACAAATGGAGCATCAGGTGCGTAGAGTTGGGGACCCCTGAACGAAAGGCACTTATAATTTAGCAGCCAACCAAGGTAATGCAGTAGAACCCTTTCAGTGTTCCTTCCCCCAGCAGAACAATGGTCTTGAACCAGGAGACTCAATTTAAGTTATGCCTGTGTGCATCTTATATTCCTCAAGGATTCAGCTTTGCTGTTGGAAAAAACAGGGAAGGCAAAGATTCCTCTTTCTTCATATTATGTTTCATTTCATCATATACAGCAGGTGTGTCAAACTCTATTTCATTGAGGCTGCATCAGGGTTGTGTTTGACTTGGTGAGGGGGGCGAGATGGGCGTGGTCAGGGCAGGCATGGCCAGCTTGACATCACTTATGTCGGGGGTGTCTGTGGTGGCCCAAGTACTCTACCAGTGAAACGGGCTCCCATTTTTGGCTGCCATGGCCTCCTGCAACCTTCTGCCAGCAAAATCTCCATTTTCAATGGGGACCGTGGTAGCAGAAAACTGAGATCGGGAACCAGTTTTTGCTGGCAGAAGCACTGCCGGATGGTCCTTCACTGTTTCCGGGGTGGCCCCGTGGGCCACATCTAAGTACCCCATGGGCCGAACCTGGCCCCCCAGGTCTTTAGTTTGACACCCCTGATATACAGGTAGGTAGTTTTTGACTTACAACAGTTCATTTAGGGGCCGTTCAAAGTCACAATGGCACTGAAAAAAGTGACTTATAACCCTTTTGAAAAACACTTTTAACAACTCTTGCAGCATCTAGTTGGTAACGTGATCAAAATTTGGATCCTTTGGCAACTGGTTCATATTTATGATGGTTGCAGCTGGTCCCGCTGCCAAGGTCATAAGTGTGAAAAATGGTCATAAGTCACTTTTTTTCAGTGCCATTGTAACTTTGAACGGTCAACAAACGAACTGCTGTAAGTCAAGAACCGCCTGTATTAGAAACTCATCTGCAGCCATTTTTCTTCCCTTTGCCTTTGATTGATTGATTTGTTTTCTTAGAACTGTTGCCCAAAGGGAACAAAGAAGACCAGAGAGATTACGTGTTTTACCTCGCGGTAGCCAATTACCGCCTGAAGGTGAGCTTGTGGATAGTTCCTTCTTTGTTTCCCTTGCTTGCCTCTATTTCTGGATTTGCTGGTGTTTTGTTTCTGGGTCTGGCTGTGCCTGAACTTCAGTCGGCTGACATTGGACTGAAATCAAGGCAATTTAGGACTCTCAAGCCAAAAGAAATCACATTCCCTTAAAAGAGGAATTCCCGATTTTGAGCACTTCGAGGGACACAAGAAAGATGCCTGGCTGACGAAGAAGCTTCTCGAAACATTTTTAAAGTTAAAAAAAAACCCACAAGGAAGTCTAGTTGCCTTTTGGGGGTGGGGGGTGGGGGAGCAGATTTTGGAAGAGCAGTGGCCATAGCATTTAGTTTTATAAACCGCTTCCCAGTAGTTTACAGTTCTCTCTAAGCCAAGGATGTCAAACTCAATTTCATTGAGGCCGCATCAGGGCTGTGATTGATCTTGAGTGGGGTGGATGGGTGTGGCCAACTGGGTGGGCATGGCCTGCTTGACGCCACTCCCCAAACTGCTGGCATGTTTCCTCTTCCCATTGGGTAGACCGGGCTGAAGCTATGCTGGCCTGATCTTTCCTCTTCCCATTGGGTAGACCGGGCTGAAGCCATGCTGGCCTGATCTTTCCTCTTCCCATTGGGTAGACCGGGCTGAAGCCATGCTGGCCTGATTTTTCCTCTTCGCATTGGGTATCCAGCCTACAGGCCTTGAGTTTGACACCCCTGCTCTAAGCGGTTTACAGAGTCAACATATTGCCCCCAGCAATCTGGGTCATCATCGGAAGGATGCAAAACTGAGACAAACTTGAGCCGGTCAGGATCGATCTCTTGGCAGTGGGCACAGTTAACCTGCAATATTGCATTTCTAATCATTTGGCCACTTCAACTTCAATGATGCTTGGCTGACCACATCCTTACTTCTCTTTTCAAATCCTCTCTATGATTTGGTCTCCCTCAAACTCTCTATGTTGACCGAGGGGTGGGTGGGTTATTAGATTGGGATTAGCTGGCATATAGTTTGTTCTTCTTCACTTCCCATCTTTTTTATCCCGGTTAGATAAGGTAAAAGGTAATCCAAGTCCGGAAACAGATTCTGTTAAGTTTATTGGAACCCCCCCTTTTTTAATTGATACAAGCTAATTGTCTCAGACAACCCTAGTTCCCTTGATCAAGAAACAGATGGGCACCGTGCCTTAAAGTCAGACAAGACAGGGAAATCTTTTCCTTTTTAAAATAACAGGTAGTCCTTCACTTACAACATTTAGTGACCATTCTAAGTTACAATGGCACCAGGAAAAAAAGCGAGTTACAACTTTTTCACAGTTACAACCTTTGTAATGTTCCCATGATCATATGATCAAAATTCAGATGCTTGGCCAACTGGTTCATGCTTATGACCGTTGATGTGTCCCAAGGACCTTTTGACAAGCAAAGTCAATGAGTAAAACAAGATTCACTTAACAACCACATAAATCACTTAGCAAGTGCAGTGATTCACTTAGCAACAGTGGCAAGAAAGGTCATAAAATGGAACAGAACTCACTTAGCAATTGCCACACTTAGCAACAGAAACGTTGGGGTTCACTGGCAGTGGTAAGTCGCGGACCATCTGTAACAGGATCTCGAAAGCCGGATGGCACTGCCACTCCCTCTTTCTTATGCCAACGAGAGTTAAAATGGGGGCAGTTTAAGCGTCTTTGTGATATTCTCTTCCTGTCCTGGGATTACATTCTGTTTTGGGAACTGCCGCCAGGTGCTTTTTCCAAGAGTCATTTTTGTCATTTTAAACAACCCCAAATGGACTGGTTGATCCAGGCTACGATTGATTTGTCTTTTACCTTTAGCCAAATGCCTTGAGGGAAAAGCCAATATAGATTCTGAATTGAGTGACTGACCTGGGAACTGTTTGCATTTGGAAAGGTTCTGGTGAGGTAGAAAAAGAAAAGTTCCACTAATCTTTCCTCAGTGCACTTGAGTTTTTTTTTTTAACCTTAACATCGAAACAGACCTCTAATTAGGCATGTTTAAAACTATTCTCTTACCTTCAACACTTTTCTTTCTTCTGGAATTTTGAAAATAGGTTTTCACCATTTCCTGGTCTTGTGGAGCACCTATTGTTTTGTCTGGTCTTCTGGAATGTGGAAGGTGCTGGGATTGTGAAAGAGGAACTCGAGAGATGTAACTCCCCCCCCCCCCCCAACCTTTGCTGTGTTTGGGGTTGACTCGTTAACTTGGCCTTGCTTTATCTCTTGACAAGTAATCTTGGGCTTCATAAACTTCATGGAAAGCAGGGTGTTGGCCATCCTTATCTGTCTTGGTTGATCCTCTTATCTGGGCTTTTTATGGACTGCCACAGTGCTGTGATCATAACTCTTCGATCCTTGGGTGTGTTGTCAAGGCAGCAGGGCAGATAAGAAGCATGTCTGGGTCGGAGGGAGGGAGGGAATTTGTGCAAAGCACAGCTGGGTGACCAGTGCATTCCTTAATCATGTTTTGCTCAAGAGGAAATCCCACTTGAGCCAGGTGTAGGATACGCGATGCAGCCTTAAGAGCAGGAATGGAAGGAGACGGTTGATGGAAGGAAATCCAGGCTTGTTTTGATGCTTCTGTGCGGTGCAAGAGATAAGCTGTCAAGATTGCAGGGTGAGGTGAATTGAATTGAACCCTCTCCAGCTCAAAAACATTATGGGATGGTCTGGAAGTTGTTGTCTCTCTGTTGAACCTCCCTCCAGTGAGCAAGTGATGGCCCTCTCTAAAACATGGATGCCAGACTTCAACATGTTCTTTGTCTGAAGCAGAAAGGAAGCCTGGAAAAACATGGTCTCTCCCTCATATATTGGGGTTATTCAACGTTCCCCAGCTATTAACATTTGGAGAACCTCACGTTGAGGAGTGTTTTTTTCTGGTGGAACTGGCTTATCAGGGAAACCTGGTCTACCCAATTATGGGCCGGAGCATACTGCTTCTGTTTTTGCCTTTCAGCCCCAATCCAGGAGCCTTTGTAAGCAGTCGCTTTTGCCACGAACTATTTTTGTGTTGAATCTACGTTTACTGTCAAAAGAAATAAAGGGAGACTAAAAGGTAAAGCTTCCCCTCGCACACATACGTGCTAGTCATTTCCAGCTCCAGGGGATGGTGCTCATCTCTGTTACAAGGCCGAAGAGCTAGCGCTGTCCGAAGATGGCTCCGTGGTCATGTGGCTGGCATGACTAAACGCCAAAGGCACATGGAATACTGTTACCTTCCCACCAAAGTGGTCCCTATTTTTCTACTTGCATTTTTACGTGCTTTCAAACTGCTGACAAGTAATGGGAACTCACTACATTATGCGGCACTAGGGATTCGAGCCGCCAAACTGTCGACCTTTCTGCTCGACAAGCTCAACATCTTAGCCACTGAGCCACTGTATTCCTCTAAAGGGAGACTAGTATAGATCTATTTCAAACTACTTAGATTTCATCAGCTAGCCATTCCCTTCTGGGATTTGGACCCAGGCTACCTGCATATATTAGATAGATGCATTATTCTCTAAGCCACAGGCTCTCCTCGCTTGGTCGGCTATACCAGAGAGAGAGATTAAGTGTTACAAAGCTCATGTTGAGAAGAGTGTCTGCTAAGGTATCCCATGCCTTCCTTGAAGTCTTCCTAGGCCCAATTCTGGGTAGTTCAGGATTTTGTTCCAGCAGTGGCACATTGGACCAATGTCATCTTATTTGTTCCCACAACAACAATGGTTGTAAGACCTTGCACAACCATTCGTTATGAGAAATTTCCTGACAGAACAAGAATCAGAGGAACGACTTGCATCCAGAAGTTCTGGATGCTCCAACACTGGAAGATTTTAAGAAGATATTTGGGCAGCCACTTGTCTGAAATGGTATTGGACCATGATGGCGAACCTATGGCACTTGTGTCAGAGGTAGCATGCAGAGCTATTTGTGTCAGCAAGCGAGCCGCAGGCAAACTTACCACACTGCACATGTGTGCACCCCCCCAGCTGAGGCCCTTTTTGGCCTCCCAGAGGCTTGAAGAAAGCCTCTGCAGGCTTTGCAGGACAAATAATAGGTTTTGTTACTTCCTGTATTTCCAGAAATACCAGAAGTGATGAAATGGGCCTATTTTTGGCCTGCAAAGTCTGCAGAGGCTTTCCTCAAGCCTCTGGGAGGCTGAAAAAGGCCTCAAACCAGCCGAGAAACGCAGTACAGATAAGGTGGGGAGCGTGCATTGCCTTCTGGGTTCTGGCATGCGACTGCGCACACGCAGGCGCATGCACAATTTTTGGCACAAGAGCCCAAAAAGGTTAGTCACCGCTCGTATAGGGTTTCCTGCCTGAGCAGGGGATTGGACTAGAAGACCTCTAAGGTCCCTTCCAATTCTGTTAATTCTGTTTTGCTACCATTTAAATGGCACTGGAAAAAGTGCTTACAATTTTTTTTCACATGTCCCATAGTCCCATGACCAAAATTTGGATGCTTGGCAACTGGCATATAATTTTGATGGTTGCAGTGTTCCAAGGTCACCTGATCCCCTTTTGCGACCTTCTGACAAGCAAAATCAATGGAGAAGTCACTGAACAATCCTGTTAGTAACTTAAGAACTGCAGTGATTCACTTAACAACTGTGGCAAGAAAGCTCGTAAAATGGGGCAAAACTGACCTGACAACTATCTTGCTTAGAGATGGAAATTTTGGGCTCAGTCATAAGCTGAGAACTACCTGTATTTGATTCTTAGGTATCCGGCCCCCGAACATGGAGAATTACGTTGTGTTTAATAATCAGCTATGGGTTCTTTCTGTAGCACTGGAGAACTCCCTTGGAATGTTTCCATAGCCATTACATAGGTGAAGTTGATTTTTGTCCTTTTCATCCTCATACCTGTCTACTTACGGGGACCACCACTGCCCTATTGTTTCTACCTGTAAAAGTAGGTGAGAATGGCCTTGAGTGATGGGGCAAAGAAATGCTGCCTAGGAAACAGTCAGGTAAGAGAGGGCAGAGCTCACAGGCGTATAATGGATGGAGAAAGACTAAGAAGAAATCCACCCTCATTTCATGGGCTGTTAAGGAGAGGGCAGACAAAATGGACTTTTAGACTTTCTATTGATGTAAACAAGGTAGTCCTCAACTTACGATCACAATTTTTCTGTTGCTAAATGAGACATTTATTAAGTGTGTTTTGCCCCATTTTACAAAGGCATGTGACTCTGGGATGAAGCAATCATTGTAAATACATGCCAGTTGCCAAGCTCCCGAATTTTGATCGTGTGTCCAGGTGGATATTGTGATAGTGCTGCAAAATGTGCATATATAAGTTGCTTTTTTTTTTCCAGCACCTTCGTAACTTTGAACTGTTAACAAATGGCTGTGCAGTAGAATCTCTGGTCACGACCATAATTCATTCCGTAATTTTGGTCGCAAGTCGATTTGGTCATGACCTGAACCTAATTTGGAAATTTGGCACTTACAAAAAAAATGGCGCAGAAGGGAAAATTGGCCGAGGGGAAAAAAAGATTTGGGGTGAATTTTTTGGTCGGAACCTAATTTGGTTGTATATATATAAATTTTTTATTTTTATTTTTATATTTATTTTTTTATATATATATAAAGTATATATGTTTTCTTAAGTTTTCGCGGGTACTTACATGTATGGCATTCAGCTTTGTTCAGGTATTTTCCCACGTCATTGTAGTTGTGCTTTTAAAGTTGTAGCAACGTTTCGGCAGAATCTCATCTGCCATCATCAGGCTTCTGTATTGTGTTCATAATATATACAGAAGCCTGATGATGGCAGATGAGCTTCTGCCGAAACGTTGCTACAACTTTAAAAGCACAACTACAATGACGTGGGAAAGTACCCGAACAAAGCTGAATGCCATACAAAGTATATATATATATATTTCCTGAAGTATTTTCCTTTCCTGACCATAACTAAGAATTCACAAGCTTCCAGTCCCAAAGCTTTTTATAGATGGTCCTCCACTACCACAGTTCATTTAGTGACCGTCTGAAGTTACAACGGGACTGAAAAAAGTGACAGGACCAGTTTTCATTCTTAAGACCTTTGGGGCATGCACATGATCAAAGTTTAGATGCTTTGCAACTGACTCGTATTTATGACGGTTGCCATGTTCTGGGGGTCACGTGATCGGCTTTTGTAACCTTCCGACAAGCGAAGTCAGTGGGGAAGCTTGCTTCACTTAACAGCCGTGTTATTAACTTAACAACTGTGGTGATTCACTTAATAACTGTGGCAAGAAAGGTCATAAAAATGGGGCAAAACTTGCAAATGTCTCACTTAGCAACCGAGATGTTTGGGCTCAATTGCGGTCGTAAATCGAGGACTACCTCTGCCCACCTCCTATTGTTGTGAGAAGTTGAGAAGATCCATCAGTTTTTGCCTTTCTTTCCTACGGTGCTGCTCTTTCTTTCTCCACGACAGGAATATGAAAAGGCTCTGAAATGCATCCGAGGCCTATTGAAGACTGAGCCAAACAACACGCAAGCCTTGGAGATGGAAAAACTGATCAAGAAAGCCATGCAGAAAGGTTAGCGGGGCAGAGGTGGGGTAGAGAAGGCTGGCCCTTTTTAGCTCAGATCGACTGTACTGGATCCCAAAGTCCAAAGAACGGCAGCTAATATGATCTTTCCCAGTCTGGGGTTATCCTTTTCAACCTCTGGGTTATCCTGGTTTGTAAAGAATTGAGTTATAAACACCACTTCACAGTTGCAAGACCAAAACGTGAACTAACCTAACCCTAGCTATGAAGTAAAAGTGCCCAGACACATAAAACCTTGGCTTTTAATAAGCGTGACAAACCTGGATTACTAAAAAGTGTTATTTCTATCATGACTCATTGGAGAAGAGCCTAATGCTGGCGACGATTGAGGGCAAAAGAAGAAAGGGACAGCAGAGAATGAGGTGGCTGGATGGAGTCACTGAAGCAGTCGGCGTGAGATTAAATGGACTCCGGAGGATGGTAGAGGACAGGAAGGTCTGGAGGAACGTTGTTCAGGGGATAGTGATGGGTTGGATATGACTTTGCAACTAACAACAACAACATTTCTATCCAGAGAACAATGAAAGTGGGAGGTGGTACTCTCTCAGCAAATTGGTTTTATACAGACACACATACGTACCTATGTATGTGAAATCATGTCCGACCCATCACGACCCCATGGACAACATTCCTCCAGGCCTTCCTGTCCTCTACCATCCCCTGTAGATCACAGATGCATACATACATACACTCAGCCTTCTGCTCCATTGCTGCTGTGAGCAAGCAGAAGAAGTAGGTCGGTGGCCATATGGACTCCTGCTTCATGTGGCTGGTAGTGCTGTGCCGCAAGGCAGGTGTCAAAGCATGGATGGTCTGGATTATGGGGGCCCTGAGATAAACCAGTGTGGGACAGGTGGGACAGCTCCATCCCCACCTCACCTTGCGACCACAGCGCCACAAACACAAGATGGAAATGGCAACAAACTAGCTGTGCAGGCTCTTAGCTAGGGCTTATTTTGGGAGTAGGTGGGCTTATATTAGGGGCACATGTAAAAGCCATGCTAGGGTTTATTTTCAGGATCGGTCTTATTTTTAGGGAAACAGGTTACATACATACACATATGATCGTTCAAAATTACAGCAGCATTGAAAAAAAGAGACCTGTGACTGTTTTTCACACTTAACAACGCAACAGTTATGACATGATCAAAATTCAGATGCTTAGCAACCTGCATGTATTTACAATGCTCCTGAGTCATGCAATCAGCTTTCGCAAGCTCCTGACAAGCAAAGTGAGTGGGAAAGCTGGATTAACAACCATGTTAATAAGTGAATGGCTGCAGTGATTTGCTTAACAACTGTGGCAAGAAAGATTGTAAAATAGAGAGAAGCGATCTAGAAAAAAGGAGAAATTTCCTGACAGTTAAAACAATTGGAATAAGTTGGAATAAGTTAAAACAGTGGAATAAGTTGCCTCTAGAAGTTGTGGGTGCTGGACGTTTTGAAGAAAAGATTGGACAGCCATTTTGTCTGAAATGCTATAGAGTCTCCTGCTTGAGCTGGTGGGGTTGTACTAGAAGACCTCCAAGGTCCCTTCCAACACTTATTCTGTAAAATGGGGCAAAACTCAATTGTTTCAGTTAGCAACAGAAATTTTGGCTTAACTGCAGTCATAAGTCAAGGACTTCCTGCAGATGCATGCATACATACATACACATTCCACAGCAGTTAATGTTTGAAGATTGCTCAGCAATTGTGGTGACCCTGGCTAGGGTTGATTACGACTGTGGCTATTACTCCTTCGGGTGGGAGAGGAGTGGGTTGCCATGGCAATGGGTTGGTCCAGCCCCCTCTCCCGATGCAGCAGTCCAAAGTCCCTTTAGCGTCTTTAACTGACCCTCGAGGATGACTGCCCCCCCTCCTTTGTTCTCTCCACAGATGGCTTGGTTGGCATGGCGATCGTTGGCGGCATGGCATTGGGAGCGGCCAGTCTGGCGGGCCTGATCGGCTTGGCCATTGCCAAATCCAAATCCTAAGGCCGATAGGGTAGGCCTCCCTTCTCTTCCTCTGGCGGAGCAAGCCGGCCTGGGCATCTGGAAGACCTAACCCTCCAGAGAAGCGAGCAGAGGGATGATTCAAAACCCTTTTGTTTTCTTCAAATGTCACTAACCTGACTGTAATTCCTGGATTTCGGTCCTCATTTCTCCCCCACCTCCCCCACTGATCAGCTGCTATGTTCATGAGGGCAAAGAGCGATAATAATGCAGAAATTGCCCAGAGAATGAGGGTGTCCTGGGACTATAATCCCAATTTTCCTCTTGCGTTAATCCAAGCTGAGGTTCTTCTGATATCTCTCCTTCCACTGGTACAAGACGTACTAAGTCCTTCTCTCTCTCTGCCTTTCGATTCTCCCAAAAATTTGGGAAGAATCGTCTGGTGAAGTACGGGAGCCAAACGCTAACTCACTTTGGTGTCCCTTCTGGAGATAACCAGGATGTCTTTCTGCCTTTCAGATGAAGCTTTGGCCAAGTGCTGGGGATAAGGTGGCGTTGATGGGGATATTTATTTCCTTCACTCAGGCAGAATATTTCCTTCACTCACAAACTGATTTTCCCCTCTGCTTCTGAACTTACTCTTTAACCATATCAGTGTGTGTAGTCAGGATGAATCCATTGTCAACACTAGATTTTTTTTTAAATTTCTTTGTTTAACTTAGCTGGGTAGGCTCCTGAGTTCTTTCAATTTCTTTTAAAAAAAGTCATTTTTGTGAAGGTGAAGAGGTTGGGTAGCCTCAGCAAGAGGCCTACCTGTGTTGGCCTCTGATAATGGACCTCGAAACGTGTAGATTTGGTGGTGTATGAGCAGTCCACTTCAAGCCACACCATCTCTTGTTGAACTACAATACCCAAAACTCCTCACTCTTGACCATGTTACCTAGACCTGCTTAGATCTGGAAGTCACAAGTTAGCTAGTTTGAGTAAGACATCGGTCTACATTTGTGGTAGAAAACCATGGTCCCTTCATAACTTGTGGACTTCAACTCCCAGAATTCCTGAGCCAGAATGGCTAGCTTAGGAATTCCAGAAGTTGAAGTCCACAAGTCCTAAAAAGGCTGTATATTGTATATACAGGCACAGATATGAGGCCATAGGTATTGATATGCTATCATGAGTGTTGGATGCTTCACACCATTGGAAAATATTGTCCTGTTCCTGTTCCCCCCCCCCCCCCCCCTCCCCTCCACACTCCCCTTTTTTTTTTTTTCTTACTTATCCCACGCGCCGGGACTACGACCAGCCGTGTCTATGGAGTG